GTATATAATTTTTATATAATTTAAAATATATATTTTTTAGTTTTTTTTATATATATATAGACTTATTTCAGCAAGTTGCCATAGCAACATTTTAATCTAGTTTAACTTGACACACTAAAATAACTAAAAAAATATATAAATTATAAAAACTATATAGACTTATTTAAAAACAACAAAAATGTATAAAAATGACAAAAACACACAACAAAATTGCTAAAACTTTAACTAAAATTAACATGAAAGCAGAAAATATCAAAATAAAATCTATTTCAAAATATTAACAGAAACTATAATAGTATGTCAAAATTATAATAGTATAATTTTGTACTATAATAGTACAAAAACTATAATAGTATCTCAAAGATACTAAAATAACACTGATCTGAAATCTGACAATTATGGAAGCAAACTAACCTAAAAAAACAAACAAACAGTGGTTTTGCCTGTATTGTCTTGCCTTAAATGTTGTAAATTTACAGTGCTGGCAGTTTGAGTTCAGTGTACTTTTGCAAACATATTTCCAATGGAAATCAACAGCATGTCACAGATGCTGTATGTTGAGAATAGCCAGAAAGTCCCTTCAGTCCTGCTTTGCTGCAGAATGAGAGAGGTGGACTTTGAGCGGCGTCGCAGTACCTGAATACTGAGCGTCTCTGTCAGTCTCTGGACGCTCACGCGGTGGAGAAGCCCGTTGGCCAGATTCCTGCCGCTGGCTCGGAAAACCTCCGCGTCTCTGTTGTGCTGCAGTTTGTACCTGACGTCCAAATGTCCTTTAGAACAAAGAGCACTGGATTTCTCAACAGGCTTTATATGGTAAAAAGTCACTGTTTAACCGCAGAAAACATCAGCATGCGACAGAAGCCAATGTGTTTTGCAACTACAAAGCTTCTTCTTAAGAGGATTAAAATTAAATCCTCTATGAAACAAAACAGATGCGGAAATAAATTAAAAAACTAATTTTTGCGTGGAATTAATCATGCACATCACCTCAGGTGAACTTAAAAGTTCTTTACAAAGCTAGTTTTTAAACATGTAATCATACACTGCCATTCAAACGTTTTGGATCAGTACGATTTTTTATGTTTTTTAAAGAAGTCTCTTCTGCTCATCAAGATTGCATTTATTTGATTAAAAATACAGAAAAAACTGTAATATTGTGAAATATTATTACAATTTAAAATAACTGTTTTCTGTTTGAATATACTTTAAAATGTAATTTATTTCTGTGATCAAAGCTGAATTTTCAGCATCATTACTCCAGTCTTCAGTGTCACACGATCCTTCAGAAATCATTCCAATATGCTGATTTATTATCAATATTGGAAACAGTTTTGGTGCTTAATATTTTTTGAAACCTGTGATACATTTTTCATGATTCTTTGATGAATAAAAAAGTTCAAAAGAACAGCATTTATCCAAAATAGAAATCTGTTCTAACAATATGTTTTTACTATCACTTTTTATCAATTTAACAAAAGAAAAAAAAAACTTTACTGCCCCCAAACTTTTGAACGTATAAAAATATATATAGTTCCAAAAGATTTCTATTTGGTATTAAAGATGTCATTTTAAACTTTTTATTCATCAAACAATAAAAAAAAAAAAGTATCACAGGTTCCAAAAAAAATAAAAAATAAAAAAGCAGCAAAACTGTTTCCAACCCTGATTTCTGAAGATCATGTGACACTGAAGACTGGAGTAATGATGCTGAAAATACAGCTTTGATCACAGAAATAAATTACATTTTAACAGATATTCACATAGAAAACAGTTATTTTAAATCACGATAATATTTCACAATATTACTGTTTTTGATCAAATAAATGCAGGCTTCATGAGCAGAAGAGACTTCTTTAAAAACATTACAAATCTTACTGATCACAAATGTTTGGACGGGGTTTTGCATGTGACAAATATTAAATGTGGCATGTTGCTATACGGCTGTTAGCGTGCTTGTTTCTGTGCTAATGGATCAGCTGTCTTTTGCTTGCAATTTTTAGGTGAACTGTCCTGTTAATTAATGTGTATGGACACTGAGAAATAAATAAAAATGGCATGCAACAGGAACAGGAAGCTGTCAAAGCAGCCGGCGGGGTTCTGGAGGCTGTTATGGACTTTCTGCATAATTGCACTAGCAGGTATTAACGCCACACGCTGTCTGCTGCTTGCTCTCTGTGTGTGCCGTGATGAGCCAGATCCACAGTTTACTGAATTCTGCTGCTGCGGCGGCGGCGCGGGACGCCACAATAATTGGCCCTAACAGCATGCCAAATAAAACAAGACTATTTTGGGTAACATACTTTGATGTTTTGTAATTAAAATAGTATTTGTTAAAACAAAATCTACACAATTTTATATAAGCATCCATTCCAACAAGCTCAAGTAATTCATTACACTGTGTTCTAACTTATTTTAGTATTATATATAT